GTTCAGGTCTGGTAGGGAACTGAAAAGGTGCCCCATCATCAGACTGTTCAGGTCTGGTAGGGAACTGAAAAGGTGCCCCATCATCAGACCGTTCAGGTCTGGTAGGGAACTGAAAAGGTGCCCCATCAGACACAAAAGGGAGTCGGGGAATTCCGGTCAGGACAAAATGCTGTCATCTTAGTCACTTCGCTCCCAGTTTCTTGTAGTTACTTTTCAAATATGAAGGAGCAGGTACTGAGAAACAGCCAGTTCATTAAGCGGGGCCCAGTCATTACACCCAGGAGGAGGGGAATGCAAAGACCCACGGTCCTGTGAGGAGGGTCTTAGCATGGATTCCAATCAAACCAGCTCTGGAACCAGGAATTGTTGCCTTTTTATTTATCATTTATAAGGGCCGACTGTACTGATGGTTAGTCAGCCATAACTCATCAAAGGAATCAGATAATTGTTTAACTAAACCTATTTTTAGACAAATCTGAGCTAGTAAAAGTTAGTGTCTGAGTCCAGTCCTGGGGAGTCGCTGGAGGTAGCCCTCTAGGGAACATGGCCAATATTATTAGGAGGAGAATTGGAAGCAGGGTTGGGTTGAACTGGTGTGCCGGTCCCATACAGCCGATGGCAGGTCACCACAAACTCAAATGTCAGTCTGAGTGAGCGACACTAAGGGCACAGCGGCTGCTATTTGCCTCTATTGTTTGAATCATTGAGAATGTAGATGCAGACTCTCAGATCCTCCACTGGGCAAGAGAACCCATTCCTTGGCATGTGACACATGGGGAGTAATTCGTCTTTTTTGTTTTTTTATTTTATTAATTTTGTATGTGCATTGGTGTTTTGCCTGCATGTATGTCTATGTCAGATCCCCAGGAATTGGAGTTAGAGACAGTTGTGAGTTACCATGTTGGTACTGGGAATTGAACCTGGGTCCTTTGGAAGAGCAGCCAGTGTTCTTAACTGCTGAGCCATCTCTCCAGCCCTGTAATTCATCTTTTATATGATGAGGGGTTTTCCTGGCCTGGCCAACACAGCCAGAGACATGAGCAGCAGACTTCTGGCAAGTCTTACTTCCCTTACATCTTGATCTTGTAAAATGAAGCTAGCGTGCAGTTTACTCTGATGGGGTTTATGTCCCATCCCAGGGAACGGCACTACTTGACCCTGGGGATGTCCTGCCATGAGAGTGTATTGTAAATTTAACCCTTTTTACTCAATCACGTATTCTTCAAAAACCAGGGTGGTTTTTTGTTTGTTTTTTTTTTAATGGTTTTTTCGAGACAGGGTTTCTCTATGTAGCCCTGACTATCCTGAAACTTGTTCTGTAGACCAGGCTGGCCTCAAACTCAAAGATTTGCTGGCCTCTGCCTTCCGAGTGCTTGTAAAAGAATGCTCTGAAACTCTTTTCAGAACCCCTGGCTCCGAAACTCAGGTTTCTTTATATTAGTTCACATTAAACAGGCTTTACTTTAAAGTTGTTTTGAGTTACTTCAGGCCTAACTTGAACAGCGCACACAGAAGATGGAATAAAGGGAACTATAAACTGTGCTCTCCCTCCAAGCTTGTCTGTGAATGAAGTTCATGTGTACTTAGCATGACTACAGACAGAATTCATGCTTGGGACTGAAGTAAGCAGCTTGCATCCCATCTCCCGACCCAGGTTTTAGTGAGCTAAAACAGCATGTGAAATTTAAATATATCTATATTATCCGTACTCAAAAAGTATTTGTTTTTCTATAACTGAGAAGTAGAAACAGAAACAGGAGTCTCTGGACTTGGTGGGGCAGGAACAAAGGCAGAGCATTGACACAGGGCAAGGGAGTGTCCCATCCCACCCTCCCACCCCCACCCCACCCCCCAAAAAAACCCCAAACTATATCAGAGGAAGCAGGCTTGGAGACCCAGCTGACCTAGCATAGCTTTTGTCTGCAGTCTCCTGCCCAAGCAGGGCAGCTGCAGGGACTCTCCCACACAGAAAAACTGGCACCCATAGCCACTCAGAGGTGGAGTCCTGGACTCATAGGCTGCCAGGATTTCTGGGGTCTCTATGGAGGTAGAGGGGGGGGATTGCTCTGCTCCTGCCCACATTGTGACCCCTGCTCTGGTGACCCCCACTGCTAGCACACACCGGTGCCACAGGCCATCCTGCCCCAGCTGGGACCTTATCATGCAGGACGTGCTCCCTGTGGGCTCAGGGAGCCCGTTGGGAGGAGGGCAGGGAGTGAACTAGGTTCTGGCTCTTTGGGGGCCAGAGTGGGAGCTGAGCAATGAGGATAAGAAGGGTTGAGATCGGCCGGGCGGTGGTGG